TTTTCCGTAAATCTTCGCAAGAGGGCGCAACTCATCAAGAATTTTTTTAAATTGACTATGAAAAAATGCCTTATTAACGTGGATATATGTTTTATCAGATTTAATCAATAGTTGATTTCCTAAAACTTTTCCAAGTGACATTTTGTATTTTCTCGATAAATAAAGAGGTGGGATGAGTTTTTGTTATTAATTTGAAAAAATGCTGCATTTTCGGATTGTTTTAATGGATTTTCTTGGAATTAGGTTTATTTAAATTACAATACCTTACAGATTTAATAAATGTTTTAGTGATGGCAAAAAGTTTATTAATAAAGGTACAAAATGGCGATATGTTAAAACCTAACCTAGTTCTTAATTTTTCTGGGAAATTTTAAATGGAACGATATTTTTTTTCTTTGGGAAATATTTAGATTTTTGTATTGTACCTAAAAAAGGAGAATAAATTTTCATCTACAATATAATTTTTTTATTTATTTATAATTAAAAACATTTTATTTATTATTTTTTAAAATTTTTCATGGACTTCCTTATCTAGGTTTCTTATGTAAAACTGCTTCATCGCTATCGCAAAACAATTTCAAAGAAAATAGATTTTTCTGGAAAATATTAAAAAGCGCATAATTCCTAATATACAACCTCGAAAATCTATAAAATGATATATTTAATGCTCATAAATATTCAAACATCGGAGAATTATATAAGATTTTCCAAGAATTTTCCGCAATTTTCTTTCACTTTTGTTTGTTATTTAAAAATGAGTTGACCATTATTTTAGCTCGAAAACATTAATTTTCACATAATCTTTACTTCATTTAAAAAATATACGGGAAAATTATTGGGAAAATCGAAATTTTTCATAGGAGCAATTTTATAGGAAATTTATTTTTGATTAAGCTTTTTTTCGAAAAAATGCATCCTCATTGAGATATTGGCATTTTTTAGACAAAAAACGCGAAAAATCATGTATATGTATACAGGGTGTTCACAAAGTTGAGTCATTTATTTTAACTGCTGGTAGAACTCGTAAAAAAAATCGATTTACCAAAAATCGTTTACTTATATAAAAGTGTGACATGTTTTCTGACTACACTTTTCTATAAAAAAAATCTCAGAGTAAAAAGTTCACTTATTCCGTCTTTTTATGACTAACTTTCCTGGACTATACCTTTGATTGCATTAAGACAACTATTTACGTAGAGATGTATTTATTTATGCATTATTTTATTATTTACAACTTCTTTTCTTTGCGCATTTAGAATTTTGTTTGAAATTTTGATGCATGCTCCTTTTTACGAGAACTTACAATGATTTCCACGGTGCCCTCCTACAGTGAGCCACTACGTACCTGACCTTCACCACCCAAATGAAATAAGTCGAACTGTTACAAAAATTTAAAATATACCATTTTCACTTCAATTGTATAGTTGTTACGATGTCAATTGGAACCTGTAAATCTTAAAGCATAGGACCGTATGCACTTCTCCTGAAATTTCTTCTTATGCTTTGACCATGATGTGTCTCGTAATTTATACTCGAATAGCAATTCGGCGAGTCCGGTATTCGTAAACTAGTCCGCCTGATGTAGAATTGACGGCGGTGCGCTGGTCATCAAAGCAAACCTGCATTGGTCCACTAGGTCGTAAATAATTTTTTTGTATGATACACAGGTTCACTTAGCTTTGCCGCTTTGCCAGTGCAGTGCAGAGCATTGCTTGATGCGGTATGTTGTTGGTATAATACGTATTATTATTTATTAGTTGATATTATTATTTGTTCATATCGTAACCCGTAAAGGGTAATAATTATTAAAATAAATGTTATATGTAATTATCTAGTAATTTAGCTTGGCTCTCTGAAGACTCTTTGAATCGGAGGATAACGAAATAACTCGAGAAAATCCTCAAATAGTGGAACTGGTTTTTGTCGAAAGTATCGAAACAAACTTAGTTTAAAAACAAAGATTTACACGTAAAAAGTCTACGAATTATATTAAATATATATGAATGTTTGAAAATTGAAAATAGTAAACAATGTGATAAAAAAGTTAGGAAACGGATTAACGAATTAACTAAAATATCAAAAACGATAATTTATCGCGTAATTAAAGAAGGATTAATCCTTGATTGATCAAACAAAGAGGAAACGGAAAAATACAAAATATAAAGAAAATAAAGTTCCTACTTTAAACATGATTCGAGATAAATTAAGCGATTATCCTGATTATAATTATAAATTTCTAGATATTTTACGACATGCTTTATTATGCTTTATTTATGCGATTTTAAACAAAAAACTTGACAATCGTATGGTAATTATATGGTAATACAGGGTGGTCCGAATTTTATGCAGGAAACTTCGAGGACAGATAGATCTCTTTAAAATAATAGCAGTTTGCCTTATAAACATAAGTCTGGAACGGCCTCGTTTTAGAGATACAGGGTGTTGAAGTTGTTAAAAAAAATATATTTTTTGTTTATATCTCCGGAATGTATTAACCGATTTCAATAAAATTTGGTACAAATAATGTACGATAGTAGGCCTTGCATTCCCTAAAATATGAGCTCTAAAGGTTTAACCAGTGGTGTACAACTGGACAGGGGTCACCCCATTTTTATAAAAAAACCTACGCCACTGTATTTTTTACAAGTTA